GGGCAAAAAGGGGATAGCAAAAAAAAAAAAAAAAAAAAAAAAAAAAAAAAGAAAATGCGTACCAACACCAAAGGGCAAAAGGCCATGTTAACTCTGTATTATAGTCTTGGAAAAAATATTTTTAAAAATGATCAATATGTCTATGTGCAGAGCTGAGTAGAATCTGACCCAAGGGTCAAGATAGCAAAGGGGACACACACAATATGAAGGCAAGGATGCCAAGCTTTTTATCCCTTTTTAGTCACCCATCAGACATCTGCAGGCTCAAGTGAAGAGTCAGTGCTTTAATAAAAGTGGCCTTCAAGTAACCTAGGCAACTATTATCATAATCCACATGTAAGAGGTGTTCACTGCAGCAGAGCTAGTGAGAAACTGATAATAAATTACTCAGATGTGTGACCTCCAAAATAGTGATTTTTACACTTGATCTTAGCCAAAAGGCCGAGAAGTGATTAAAAAAAATAGTGATTTTTAAGTGTGCAAAGAGCAAATGAGCAGCTAGAGGGCTTATTTGGATTTTTCTTTGGTAACAATATCTCATTTCATGCAAACATTCTGCTTCTGGGGTTTTATTAGGGTCTCATGATGGATTTGTTGAAAAGAACACAAACGTAGAGAAAAAAAATATGCCATGCTGTAAAGAGTAATAGTTTACTGTAGCCAGGGACTTATTTTGTCATCCCAGTCTTTTGTCCCATCGCAGTGGTCTCTGTCTCAGTGGGACTAGAAGGACTGTCAATCTACATAGGAGGCCATAGTAAAAGTGAGGAGGGAACCAACAATTGTGAATAATAGTAAAATCTAGCAAGCTTATGTGCTGGGTGCACTGCAGGTGTTTAGGTTGTGTCAGGGTGAATTTATCCTAAGAGAACCAAGGAGCATATTATTGAGAACAAAAGTGCAGTTTTTTAGACATAGTTAAGATCAAATTGCAGTTAATAAATAACAATGTACATCTTTTGCTTGCATGCCAATGACTTGAGACAACCTTAGCATAATTTGGGTACACATTGTCCCTCACTCTCGAGTCTGGAGGAAGATATACTGTCAATAACACAGGAGACGTCATCTGAACAAGAGAGTGACCACAGAAGGTGGTCCAGTACTAGTATCTGATCCCTGCCAGAAAATATAGTATAAGCTCTCAGCCACCTGAAATCCCAATATCCAGTTTGGGCATCCTGCTTCCAGGGCTACCTGGCCCCTGGCCATCAGCCCAGCAGGCAGCAGGTAAGTGTAGTCTCTGAGTATTTGTCCTGAGCCCTCTCTAGGAAATGACAGCTTGTGAACTGAGTAGCTGGGATTACAGACATGTGCCACTGAATCCAGTTTGCGTTTCATTGTTATCCCTCAAGAGACAGCCAAAGAAGTAGCAGGAATGCTGGAGTCAGATTACCTAGGTTCAAACCTCAGCTTCCCAATTTACTAGCTATGTAGCCTTAGGCAAGTTATTTGGCTGTGCCTCACTTCCCTCATCTGTAAAATAGAGATAATATTATCAACCTAATGGGTTGTGAGAATGAAATGAATTAATATGTGCAGTGTGTTTAAAGCAATGCATAGAACACAGAGTAAGTGCTATAAAAATGGTGGTGGTGGTGGTGGTGATGATGATGATGATGATGATGATGATGATGTTATTTTATTGAGGATATCACCTATGACATCATACGCCCCTTTCCCAACCTCCATTATGAACTTTCTCTGGCCCCAGCCCAGACAAAATTATGATTTTCTTAGGCACCAATCTCTGTTTATCTTATGATACTGCAACTTGTTTCTATCTTTGTTTTTGGTGCTAAAATTAGCAGTTTAAAGTAAAATTAACCTTCCTCTTTAATATTTGGAAAGGGATTTGGGGGATGGGTTCTGTGTTCTCATAGTTCCTGATACAAATCCTTAAAGTCATCCTTCGTTTGTCTCAATTCATGCCCAACAACAAATTCTTGTGTTTCTGCTTCAAAGTGTATCCTGGTTCTGACTAGTTTCCACTACTTCTATCATTATCACCATCTCTATCTCTTCTATATCTGTATCTATATTTCTATATTTATACCTATACCTATATCTATATCTGCAGGACTAATGTACAGTTGGTCTCTGATTCTGCTCTAGCCCATAACATCCATCATTCATATAACAACAGTGTGGCCTTTAAAAGAATAAGTCAATTCACATCACTACCTTGCTCTCAACCCTCCAATCATCTTGAGAAAAATCTCGAAGTCCATATACTAGTTTACAAGTCTCAGCAAGGTTCATTCTGCTCTTCCCATTACTTTTTTCCTGGCCCTCTCATGCTTTGCTCCAGCCATGTCAGCATTCATGTTATTCTTCTAATACATGCATGGCCAGGACTCTCCCCTTGCCCTGCCCCCCTCCAACAGGCTTTTCCCTAAATATTGGCTGGCTTTCTTCCTTGCTGTATTAGTCAGCTTTATGATACTATACCAAAATACCTGACACCAGATACTTATGAAGTAAAGAGTTCTTTGGTTCTGGAGGATCAAGCCCAAGACTGGGTGCCCCTTTGACTTGGGGCTTTGATCAGGTGACACATCACAGCAAAACCTGAGGACCTCCAATGAGGTGCCTGCCACCTGCTGAAGGTCCACAGTACTTCCCAGTGGCACCACCATGGGGACAAAGCTTTTGACGTATGAACCTCTGAGGGACACTACCCATATTCAAATCATAGCATTTCCTCTCTTCATTTCGACCTTTGCCCCAACTGCCACCTCATTTAAAGACTCCCTAAGCATCTTTTCCAAAAGAGCAGCTCTCTTTTACCCTGGCATTTATACCCCTCTCTTCCATTTTATTTCCTCCTTAGCACTCACACAAATTTATTTTGTCTTCATCCACTAGAATGTAAGCTCTCTTTGAGCAAGGACTTTGTCTGTTGTGTTCTCAATACCTAGAAAGGTGCTCAACACATAGCAGGAGCATGATAAGAAGAATCATTAAGGGAAGTAGAGAGTGAGTGAAATCTTCACTTTACTATTTCATCAAAATCTTCCCTTCCCTGGCTTCCCAAGGGCTCTGAAGCAGTGTATAAAATATATGTATGTTATACCAGGACAAAAACAAAGAGATCAAGGGAGACAATAAATAAAACTACTGTACTTAAGTGCATGTTGATTCTTCAGTGTCAGATGGTGTTGAGGACAGTGAACTGTGACTGTCAGCAAGAAGTTCTTTGCTCTATAACTGATTAGTAACCCTCTGGCTTGCCTTCACAGATGCCAGGGGATGAATAAGACTTTACTGCAGGAAGAAAGAGGCCCCTGAGCTGGGGATAAGCATTTTAAATCACCTTCCTTCTTTTCTCCTGTTTGAGAGCTCCCAGGGCTGCGCATAGATGCTTGCTTCCTTGGAAGAATAGCATTAACTGGCAGGGTGGAGACACCCACCCCCCCCACCCCCCACCCCGCCAGCTAACGATATTGTTAAAGACTTTTCTTTATGGAAAGGTGCTCTGAGACTTGCACCTTAGAGTTGGGAGTCTATTGTGGCAACCAAATTGAGAATACATTGTGCTCTGCTTCAGTCTTGGTGATAATGATGTTTTCCCTGCTTCCAGAGCTGGTTGTGTCCAGCTGTATGAGACAAACCTTCTACTTCAGTCCTGAACTGGGGCTTTTCCCAAGGATTCTAGGCAACAAAAAACACAATCTGCTCTTCTCTTCTGCTGTCTCAGACAGCATCTACATCATGTTGAAGAGTTTTTTTAGGGGAACTGCCTGTCTAGAAAACCCAGCCTGGGTTGCTCAGGCTGAAAGGAGTCATTTCTAAGCATTCACTACAGGAAGAGCAGAACATCTGACGCAGACCATTCGTGTCTTTTTGCTCTAGGAAATGCAAAGCTAGTAGAATAATGTAATTCTGACATAGACAGTAGAGCAGGCCCAGGGTGGGCCGTTCAAGAGATACAACTTTTTTCCTTGAAGTATTTAGCAGGAGCCATTTCTGTTCTTGGTCTTCATAACTTTAGAAACTTCTCTTCAAGAACTCTGTCTCTGCTCTGAGAACAATTAGAGGTGTCCAATTATCCGGACTTTCCTGCAATGTAGCTTTTTTATCTGACAGAAGGCACCTTGCCCATATCTGGGTTTAGATGCTTGCTGAGGACCAGTGTAAGAATCTGTGGATCCATCACCAAGATCCTTTGTGCAGAGGGAAATCATTTCCATGAAGAGGATATACTGGCGGTGGCCTTGCTCTGCTTCTATTCACCTTCGATAACATTTTTTTAACCCACCCCACCTCCTTCACTCTCTGCTAAATAACTATATTTATAAAAAGGGGTGGCCCCATTGGGAAAAAGTTGGTCTTAATGTGGGGTAACTTAATATGAGGGATAGGCAAGGACAGCCACTTTAGGAAGTACCTTTTGTACCATCCCCATTCTGAATTTTAAAACAAAGTTGCTATAGGCTGGTGCTGTTAGCTAATTGTCAGACAACAGACAGACACACCACAGCCAGAAAAGTCCCTGCTGAGATTTCTCTGGCAGCAAATGAAAGCTTTGGCTGTTGCTCTGACAATGGCTGAGCAGGCCCAGCACCCCGGCCTTCCCTCCGCAGGGACCCCTCCACCACACTTCAGACCTCGGTGGGTGTGAATGTATGATGTGGTGGGTCGGATGCAGGCACTCTACCTCATAATTTTAGGCAGCTGCACACCCTCACTCACAGACAACATACCAGAATAATTCATCCCATGCCTCACAGCTAGGGTGACCCTAGCCTCAATAGACAACAATTTAAAGGCATTGCTTACAAATCAATTTCCCCCTCTAAATAGGCTGTTACAAGAGTGGACCCTTCTGCTTGCCCAGCCTAAGCCCACCTGTCACTGGGACTTCCTAGCCAGTGGTCACACTATATTGATCTTTTTAATCCTCTCTCTTTGAAACACAAAGCCAGCTGATGTGGAGTTCCTCAAAAGAAAGACTCTCTGGCTGCCCCTACCTCTACAGGTAGCAGCATATCCGGGGCTAATTCCCCACTAAAAAGTCTTAATTGGCTTACGGGGCACCTCAAAGATCTCCCTTGTGTTTACAATGTGAAAGGAAACGATGGATCCCAAACACCCTGGCCTGTCTTTAATCTGATTCTTGGTGGAAATCAGGTGCATTTAATTTTTTAATTGTTTTTGAAAAAGGATTGGAAGGTTTGGAGGTGGATGGGGATAGTGTTTCACTTCAGTGGTTCAGCTACGGGAGGAAGGGAAGAAAAAGCCCCAGAGACATTGAGATTAAGCAAGAAACTTGGTGACTTATTTTTTTTTAGTTTTTATTTACATGAAGCATCTGCAGTACAAAAATGTAAACTTCGATAGCTCATAATAATAGAATAAACTCTTTATATACAAAAATACATTTTCATATGAATGAAGTATCTTGAATAAATTAAAGTACCCTCCAGCCCAGTGCCTGAATAGCTACGCAAGCCCTTGGGTTCTTCCTAGAGCGAGACCGCAGTGGTGGGGGTCAGGATCCATAATGCATGAAGCCCACTCCTTGTGTCTCCTTTTTAAGCCTTTTCATTGTATTGTCAGCCGGCTCAAACCGAATTTTCATGCTCGTTTTTCTTCATTAGAGTTCTACAAATTGTAAAATTGACTTTTCACCTCGTCTTCAGGGGCTCATCTGTCCCTTTTCCAAATCACACTGAAGTGGTGGCTGGGGTCAGTTCTGAGCCAGCCACAAAGGAGGTTTTTGTGGAGTTTAAAAAGTGCAAAAGGAAAGGCCGTCTGAGGGCGGGCAGGAGGGGCCCGGGGCTGAAGGCTGGAGAAACAGACCAAGGGGCTGCCTCAACGAGGGTGCAGCGACCTAATAAGCGGCTCAGGTATTCCCCAATCGTTTTAAAGCTCCCGCTTCCTCCCTCCGCTTGGAGTGGGGGTCCTGAAGCCGCAGCGGGGTCCCCATCTATTGCCCGTTGACCGAGGGAAGAGGAAGGTAACGGTGTCTGAAAAGGGCCTAGTGGTAAGGGATGAAACACGGTGTCGTGTGGAGCAAGTCTTTGGGCAGGCCAGGGAAGGAGAAAAGGGGGTCGCCAGGGCCATAGGGGAAGTCTTCGGAGGCAGCAGGACTACTGGGGTCAGAAAGAGGTGAGGAGGCCGCGGCGCAGGGGGAGGCGGCAGCACCTGAGCCCCAGGACTCAGCGTCGCTGGAGGGGCTCGTGGGCCGGGGCAGGCAGGGGGCGCACTGCGGAGGCAGGAGCAGCTCCCGGGCACCGCCCCCGGGCAGCCCTTGATCGGCCAGGCGCAGTGTCTCGGCCAGCGCCCAGATGTAGTTGTAGGCGAAGCGCAGTGTCTCGATCTTGGTGAGCTTGGTGTCGTCGGGGAAGGAGGGCAGCACGCTGCGCAGCGCGTCCAGCGCCGCGTTCAGGTTGTGCATTCGGTTGCGCTCGCGATCATTGGCCTTGACGCGCCGGCTCCTGCGCAGAGAGTGCAGCAGCGCCTCCGAGCGCACTCGCGCACGGCCCCGGCGACGTCGTCGCTCCTGCTCCTCGTCCTGCGCTCCTGGAACGTCGGACGCCGCGGGCATCCCCGGGGAGCCCCTGCGGGCCGGCGCGGGCGACCCCGAGGCGGAGGCTGCAGGTTGGAGCCGGGCACAGTCCTCCTCGTCGGTGAGGAAGCCGGACAGGTCGCTGCTGCTGGCGCAGTCGAGGTCGGAGAGACAGATCTCCAGGGGGGCTGGCATCGTTTTGTGCAGGATCGATCGGACGACGACTAGATGGCAGGAGCCTGGCTGAGGCAGGGCCGCTGGGGCTGAGGAGGCACTTACGTTCCGAACGGCCCGGGCTTACTTTGTGCCCGCTGCGGGCGCGAGGGCCTGGAAAGGCGCAGGAGCGCAAGGGGAACTTGGCTTTGCCTCCTCGCCTCGCCTGCAGGGGCCACGCGCCGGGCTGGTCTCCCGAGTGATGTTGCCGGCGATCAGATCAGCTCGTGTGAGCACCGAGTGTGGCACACGACTGGCCTCAGGACCCCTTAAGTACCCGGCGCAACAATGGGCGCCCCCCTCCCTTGCCACCTCCACCCCTGAGGCAGCCCGGGTGAATGGAGCACGGCGGCAGGTCAGCCCCGTGCGGCGCCTGGGTATTTGCATAATTTATGCTCGCGGGAGGCCGCCCCCGCCCCGCCCCTCCCCCTCCCGGAGCGTGCCCGTAATTACCGCCGGCCAATCGGCGGCGGTGCCTGGCCGAGAAGCCGGCTCTGGCTGAGCAGACCCGGGCGTTTCCAGGCAGTGAAACCCGGGCGGGGGCGGGGGCAGCGGGCGATTAGCGACCGAGGCACGCTCCTCCGGGGGCCGGCCGGGCGCCCCTCGCTGGGGTGGGATGGGGAAGCTGGGACAGGCAGGAAAGCAAGAGCTGCGCGGCGAGTTGCACAAACCTGGAGCCGGCTGGAAGGCCGGGTTCGCATCTCCATTCCAGCTGCTGAGTGGCCGGGCGCCTTTGGGCAAATGATTTCGCCACCCAGGGTTTCACTTTCCTGCCTGTGGGGTGGGACACGGTCTACTTGTGGAAGATATGAGAAGATGGTCGTGGGTCGCTTAGCAGGGCGCTTTGTAACAGAGCGTCTTGTAACAGAGCGCCGGACAAATGGTTGCAAGTGTACAGCACCCGCAGAACTAGTGAAAACCACGTAATCAGGACAGTGGCCAGGATATCAAAGCCCAAAAATATAAGGCAGGGATAGGTCCCCTGTTCCCCGTCCCAGTGGGGGATGAAATGGGGAAAGAATCTGTTAACCTTCTCCTGTGGCACGGATAGCCAACCTTTTAGAGCTTTCAGAGATGACAAACAGCTGGTTGCGGCACGCGTGCCATAGGTTTGCCACCCCTGAAAGTGAGTTAGGGTGGTGTCCCAGGCTGGGTTGAGTCTTGGCCTCACGTTTCCCTTCTCTCCCTACCCCCCCACCGCCCAAAGACTCATAGAGTAACTGTCTGAATCACCTCTTCTCAGGCACCCTCGGGTAACTTGCGCTGTAGGTTCTAGAATGGTGCTTGCAGCCTTTTCCGACCACAGCGTGAGCCAGCAAAGGAACCTGGCTTTCCTCTCCTCCCAGAAAGCTGGCTTACAGAGAGGGCAGAGAGCAGCAAGCACACGGTAGAACCTTTTTCCTCCCTTCTGCCTTTGGGATTATAAAAAACTATTTCTACAGATTTTCTCTCTGCTTGTCTGGAGTCACTTTCCTTTGGTCACTAGAAAGCAATAGAGGCTTCGGCACCCCTGCTCCCAACTTTGCAGTTGGGAAAAAGTCATCATTAATGTGGGTCCCTGAGTTATGGGGTGGGGTTATTCTGCAAAGTTCTGGTGCCCTCCCCATATCTGAGTGGTTTCCTCTAGCCTGGTGGCTGGTTTCCTGCCCTCAGGGCACTCTGCCTGGGGCACTGGTCTCTGTGGACAGGTGCTATCTGCAGACTGTACCCCCTTCTGCTGACTGGCTGCACTTGCCTTCTAGCTCAGGGGACTCTAAAGAGTCCTCTCCTACCTCTTACTGCACCCCACACCTCTCCCTGACCTGGTAGAATGCTAGGAAAGGGCTATACATAAAGGCTTAAGATTTGTTAGAAGTCATAGAAAGTGGCTTTACCTAGGTTATGCAAGAAAGGGTCATTGTTGGACAGACACTGGGGCATCCCAGTAGGCCAGGGGTTGCTGGGACTTGGGTAAGCTAGCAGGATCCCAGGGATCCTCACTCGGCCCTAGGCCTTTTTCTGAGTCAGTTTCCACGTGGCCCCAGTGTGCTCCCATCAGCCTGACCTTATGACACCTTTGGGCCCTCTATTTGTTTCTTCAGGCTGCGTAACAAGCCCAGTGTGTGGCTTAAGACAATAGAAGTTTGTTCTCTCTACAATTCAGGAGGTGAGAAGTCCAACCAAAATCAAGACGTCAGAGATTAACCCATTTTGTAGGCTCTGAGGGAAAATTTGTTGCATATCCCTTTCTTAGCTCCAGGTGTCTCCTGCCAGGCCTTACCTCACTGGTTTGTAGCTGCATCTCTCCAGTTTCTGCCCCTTGTTTCACATGACCTTCCACTCTGTGTCTCTATGTCTTCTGCTATCTCTTGAGAAGACATTAGATCCAGCCCCCACCCCAACCAGGGTGATTTCAGATCCTTTCCTTGATTACATCTGTAAAGACCCTTATTTCAAATACAGTCCATTCTTAGATTCTAGATGGAAATATCTTTTAGGGGACCACTATTCAACCCTTTATAGTCTCTGTTTTCAAATTCCTGGAGGAGAGAATTGGTTTGACCAGCGTTGTTGAAATAGACATTTGTTGACTTTTTGGCTGCCTATCTCTGAACCTTCCTATTGAGGAATCTGGATGCATGGCAATTAGGATGTGGCCAGTGGTTATAAGTGTACTCTGTCACAAGCCTCGCTTGGAATATACACTCTCAGCTGGTGGTAGTTCAAAGTTCATTTGTGTCATTAACAACCTGTCAGAGCTGGTGACCAGTGGTGGAAGAGGTGTCCAGAAGCCAATGGACATTCTGACCAAACTTCCCAGGGCCTGACCTCAGCTGTGATTTTTGTTGTCCCCCTGCCTTGTTCTTAACCTTCCCACTGATTGCACCAGAACACCCTAGTGGGCCTTCCCCTAGTGGAGCTTTTCTACGTGAGGCGGGGGCTCTGTGTTTTGTCTTAAGTTTAATGCTCAAGTTGCTAAAGCATAGAGACTTATGCTGTTTTATTTTGCAGCAACCCACAGACCAGGTCAATGGCTTGTACACTGTGCCGACACTGGGTGGCAGAAGCTGGGGGTGACTGGCTGATGGTGGCCTTGGGCTTTGATTCTTGAAAGGTGGGTTCATTGTCAGCAGAACCCATGGAGGTCATTCCAGCATCTCATATATGGGAAACCAAGGCCAAAGCTAGGGAAGTATTTTTTTCCATGTTGCCCCAGGGATCTCTGGAGGTCCAACTAGGGCCAGACTCAGGAGTCTTTTTGGCCCCACAACATGTTTCCCTATGACAATCAATAACCAAATACACAGTGTCCACTGCATGCTGCCCTGTGCCAGGTGTCCTGTTGAGAGTCTGGCAGGTCTGTAATCTTGGGGGATCGGGGGTACATTTGGCTCTAAAAATGCCACTCGTTCAGAGAGGTATTGGGGGCCATTAAGGGAACAGATCTGAAGAACACTGGGAAGAAGTTGTCCATGGATGGCTCTTGGCAGAAGGGGACTTGAGAAGACTTTGAGAAGGATGGGATGTGAATAGACAAATTTGGGGATGACTGTAGCAGGAGTGTGGGAGTCAGTCTCAATGGGACTTCTCTGGGCCCCAGAGGAAGAGGGTAAGGACGGCTGAGGTAGGCTTTGAATGGCCATTGTGGACTTTCTTCTTCCTTTCTGTCTCCTCTCTCTGCTGTAAGCAGGGCTGCCATTTTCCCCCCACTAGTTCTCTGTACAGGAGTATCTGACAGAAGGGACAAGTAGGAGCTAAGATTCAGCCTGTCATGCTCCCTGAAGTGGGCTTCACCTGCCCAGAAAGGCCCTCTTTGAGATGGTAATGGATCTGTGCTTTCTGCTGCCATTGTCCCCCTCCTCTGCCTGATCCTTAATGAACTGTCCAGATAGGCATCTTAACTTGGCCTGCCTGCTCCTGGCTCAGGGCAGTGCATGTAGCAGCTGCTCCCTGGACATTCCCGGAACTCTGGTTTTCCTAAGTGGGGCTTGGGGGCCCCTCCTACCAGAGATCTGCTGAAGATGGAGCTGGCTCTGAGAATGGGAGAGGAGAACCAGGGAGTATCGTAGAAGACTTGGGGCTTTCTACTCAAGAGTAAAAGGTGGATATGTATCCTTCTTGGAGGATATGTATCCTTGCTGCGTGAGATACAAGTTTCTTCTGCCTCCCAAATCCCTCCCAGCTAATGAGCATATCTGTAAATTCCTGTTCCCAGAGCATAGTGGGATGTGATGTGGGCACGTGATAAAGTCAGCCATAGCAGGAGGTGATGGCAAGCACTGTGTGTGCCGGGTGTTCTGCTGCCTGATGATGTGTGAGACATCCAGCTGCCAATCTGCTGGGGGTGGCAGGGGTGGAGACCAGTAGGTGGGGCAGAAGTACCATAGGACTAAGGATTAAGCCAGACTTTCCCACACTGTGGTCACTTGGATGGTGGGGGGAGGAGGTCCCAGTCAGAATCTCTCGAGATCTGGCCCATGTGCTGAAGTCACTACTGACTGATGCCTTAAGGCAGTGTTTTCCTGTGGGAAAACATGTTCCCCTCAGCATCCATCCTCCTCTCTTGTGCTCCCCTAAGCCCTGTGGTAGATTGGATACATTTCTGATAGCTCAGAAGTGTCCCCAATATATCAGGGCTGGGGTTCCTCCTGTGGCTTTGCTTCCCATTGTACAGCCAGGGGAGTGGAGTGAGGAAAGGACCCGTAAAGGGCAGAAGGTGCACACCTGTTCCAGGGAGCCCTGACTCAAGGCTCAGGTGAGACAATGGGAAGGTGATTTCTCTTTTTATGGGGAAGACATTTCTGGTGTCAACACACCAGTGAAGAAACAACTTTCTAAAGTAAGAGATGGGAAGGGAGGCGAGACTTCTAGGGTCTACTGGGATTCTTGGTGTTTTTATTTTGAAGGCCAGAATAGGAGGAAAGTAGTGGTAAAGGGTGAACATTTATATATAATAAACTAATGCCGTTAACACAAACATACAACGTAATCTATGCTGTTCGTAAGGTAATTTCAGGATTTAAATGTGACATCAAATTACAGTGCCTAAAGGCATGGAGATCAAGACATAGATCTAGGTTTATATTTGTGTTTAGCATCACCTCACTCCTGTCTCTGTCTCAGTGATCATGTGCGTGACTTCATTTGCAGGTAGTGTCCACAGCCTTGAGCCCTTTTGTGCGCACAAGGCTGAGCCAAATGTCCTCCCTTTCAGTTCTCAGAAACACTTATGCCTGAGGTTGAACAAATCCTCAATGCTGCAACATGGTGAGGCACACTGAGAGGTTAGAGTCCGGAAATGACAAGTAGGAGGTGATAATCTGAATGTATTGGGAGGGGAGGATGCCATCACATTTTAGCATCCCCTAAATTGTTTTAG